AAAAAAGCCCCCCCCCCCCCAACCCACCCCAAGAAAAAAAAAATCTCAGCCAATCACTCGAGTTATGGAATTTTGACAACCAGAAAAACTTTTTCTTAAAAAAAAAAGAAGAAGAAGAAGAAAAGGAAAAACGAATTACATTAAAGTCCTGGTACTTGTCAGGATGATAAACTTGAGCCCAATGTCGATAAGCCTTTCTGATTTCTTCATCGGTGGCTTCCGGTGACACTTGGAGCAGTGCGTACAGTTCTCTCTTCGGTGGTCCCGCCTCTTCTTCGTCCATTTTCTTCCTCTATGCTTCCTTCTTTTTTTCTTTTCAATCGATTTACAAACAAATAAAATCAAGAAAAGCTTATTAGTTCCTATTAATTAAAATCAATTTTTACGAGCAGAAAGTGAGAGAGAGTATTTGTGCATCTATTCAAGTTTTGAGGACCAGCAGCAGGGGAGAAAAGGGGTTTGGGTTTTATTCCTTTTTAGTTATAGCTCAAGGGGTTTCGTTTTGCAATGCGTGGGGGTATCACTGCCCACAGTTCCGGCTATTCAGGACGAAACAAACTAACGTCAGACCCAAGTACATGGGCTTTTTTATTTATCAAGGATTTGGACTAAGGAATGCAGAACGGCCCAATTGAGAATCTCGTGATTTGCCAGCCCAGCATAAAAAATAAAATGTTGTTTAAGTGTAGTTTTAATTTATTTTATATGTTTAATTTTATTTATTTGTGTTAACTGAGACATATTGCAAACGAATTACTAAGTTATTGCTCTTGTTTCAATTCTGTTCACAATTAGACAGAAAAATACTTTCAATAAACAGATTAGTAAAGATGTTTGCATATTCAAAATAAAATATATATTAATTAATTAATCGAGAACTAGATTTAATATAAATAATAAATAATAAAATTTTTATAATTTTTTTATAATTTTTAAAAAGTGTATTTCATTCAAAATAAAATAAAAATATTAAAAAATATTAATTTAAAATAAATAAAATAAAATTCTTTCTAAAAATATTTTTAAAATACAAAAATAAACAAATTCTTAGTTTTCTCTACTCGAATAAAATTTGCAGCATAGCACAGGGATTTATCTAGTTCGTTGCTATTCCACCTTCAAGTTTAGTCCAACGTTTTTCACGTCGGCATCCCTGCTCCCGTAATTGTGATTCTGCGCCTGCTTGGAGGTGCCTGCGCCATGGAGAGAAGGGTTTAGGGATGTATTGTGATGGGAAATGGCCGCCAGATTCTTATATTGAAGCAACTCCCATCTATTGCTAAAAGGCTTAAAAAACACTGATAATTAAATATGATCCAGAAAAAAAGATGCTGGAATGGTAATCACTCACGCAATATATTGCACAAGATGACAAATTATATACTTCATAACATATCACCAAACTCACAAACGTCGTTTAGTGTGTGTGGTTTTTTTTTTTAAATAATGGTTTTAATACACAAAGGTTTTAGAATCACCCTAAGGTATTAAGAAAATATTAAATTTAAGGTATTTCAATGCGAATGCATTTTGCAAATTATTTAGAAGGTACGATATAATAATATCTTTTAAATTTCTTGAACTTTTTTAAATTAATTTTTAAAATATTTTTAAATTGTTTTGATGTGCTAGTATTAAAAATAAATTTTAAAAACAAAAATAATATTTTAATATATTTTTAAATAAAATAATATTTTTAAAAATAATTTCTATCATTATTGCACAAGATTTAAGTGGTGATCACTCAAGTTAAAAGATGTTGGAATGGTAGTCACTCACGCAATATATTGCATAAGATCACAAATTTTATACTTCATAGCATATAACCAAACTCAAAGACGTAGTGTAGTGTGTGTTTTGTTTTTTTTAATAGTTTTAATTGTAGCTTTTAGATCCGGTTCGGTTTAAAATTTGGATTCTAAATTTTGATCGGATTATTGGATCATTTAGATCAATTTTTTAAATCAAAATTATGTCATTTTAGCAACAAAAAAAAAAAGACAATGTGTTACAATCGAATTTTTGACAGGGTCAACCGGTAAATTCACACTGAATTTTTTTTTCCTGTTTTTTTTTTAACCTAGCCTGATTTTAGTCTTGAATCTCGAGGTCAACCCACCGGACATGACCGAGTTTCAAAACTATAATTTTAATAGATAAAGGTATTAAGATATTAGAATCACCTTAGGGTATTAAGAAAATATTAAATTTAAGGTATTTCAATATGAATGTATTTTGCAAAATTATTTAGAAGGTATTTGAAAACATGATATAATAATGTCTTTTAAATTTTTTGATTTTTTAAAATATTTTTAGATTGTTTTGATCTACTAGTATTAAAAATAAATTTTAAAAATATAAAATATTTTAATATATTTTTAAATAAAATAATATTTTTAAAAACAACTTGTATTGTTATCACAAATATCCCTTTAAGAAAATACATTGGTTTAAGTTGTGGCATCTCTTCTTCTTATTATTATTATTGTTATTTTTTATATAATTCAAAAGACATTATTTCCTTAACTGCATGGAGGATAATGCTCTTGACATAACCCTTCCTGTACTCCCTAATTGTTATTATAACAAAAAAACTCATAACTTTTGATATTATAGTTCCTTTGTTTGAATGTGTGAAATTTGAATTTGTTGTCCAATATTTATAACATTAGACTAAAAAATTACCCAGAGCTTTTGGTTTAAAGTGAAGTCGTTTCATGAATAAATTTTTTTTCTTTTAGAATTTACCACCTCCATCTTTTAAATTCAACTTAAGTCCTTCTATAATCGTTATAGGATTCGTCCATGATCTAATAGATTATTGCGAGAACAATTGAGCACGATACATCAAGCAAAAACTCACTTGGGCCACGTTAAATTTATGGCTATATATCACATGAATGCCTGTACTAGCATGGCCCATGTCTTAATCATGAATAATAGGTGCGGTCCAAGGATTTTGTTTTTCTTTTAATTTCTTGATGCCAATCGTTTTGTTTTATTCTGACCAATATCTTTTATTAATTATTTTTTTGAGTCATTACTTATTTCAGTGAATACTTTTAGAGGAAAAAAGAAGTGACTCCTACTAAATTCTAAAAGAGTAAAGAGTATTTGAAAGTGGTTATGGTTATTTTTTTATTTTAAAATAAATTAAAATTATTTTTAATGTTAATAAATTAAAATGATATGAAAATATAAAAAAATAATTTTAAATTTAAAAATTCAAAAATATTTTTTAAATACAAAAATAGTTGTAACTGTTCAATCCGAAACAAATTACTTGGAAAGGCGAAAATGAGTACCTAATGAGCACAGATTAAGTGCCCTTATTTATACAAGTAAAACAAAATGACCAATTAATAAAACAACTAAATATCCTGGGTTGGTTTAATTTTCGTATGAAGATTGAATCAGGTCAAAATTTTTTTTCAATTAATTTATAATATCCTTATTTTTTAGCTTAATTAGTTAATGTATGTCTACTCATTTGAAGGTTACGGGTTTGAGTCACAAATCCTTTATAAAAGAAAAAAGATATTAGCCCATGTGTCTCCGTTTCGTTGTTGGAGACCCTTCATGTAGGTTTTTTTTTTTTTTTTTTTTTTTAAAAATTTTTTTCCATCTTTTAGGTAATATTTAATTATTGTTATGAACAAAAGAGGTAGAAAAAATAAAAATAAAGAAGAAAAAGTAAAATAAGAGATGAAAATAAAATTGTATTTGGTTAATAGTGAACAAGACTTGATAAAATATAAAAATTTATACATTAACCTTAATATATATTATTTTTAAAATTATATATTTAAAAATATAATTAGATATTTTTTCTCCAGTTTAGATTGAGTTTTAAAATTAATAATTTTAGTTATAGAACTTGGATCAGCTTGATGGGTTGACTTGAGACTTGACTAACTTGAAGCCTAGACTAGTCTAGTATAAAGAAGAAATAGATGAATGATTGACCTCACTTGACCTTGTTAAAAACTCGAATCGATCTGTGACCTAGTTAACACATGGTAAAAATTAATCAAAATCTGGTAACCTTTTTTTAAAATAAATTTGACCACAATGACATTGATCTTTTGTTTAAAAAAAAATATCGAATCGGTTTAACTTGGGTTGACCTTCTTGACATATGACCTGATTCTTGTTCTATAGCAACTCCTGAATTAAGTTTTAAACTATAATAATTATGGGTGAACAAAAAAGCCAGAAAATCCATTAACCAAGAAAACTGAAAAAAATAACTAGAAAAACTGAACCGTAAAACAAATCGATTAAACCGATTAAAATTTTAAAAAATCAGCTAGTTCGGTTCGTTTCAGTTTTATAAGCAAAAAACTAAAAAAATCGAACTAAACTCAAACCAAACCGAAAAAACAAAAAAAAAACAGGCCAAACCGGAAAATCAAGTCAAACCGAAAAAACAGAGCCAAACCAAAATCGAGAAAATAGAGTCAAACCTAAAAAACCAGGCCAAATTGGTTTGAATCAGTTTTATTCTAAAAACTCAACCGAACTAAAACTGGTCGGTTGAAATCAGTTTTGGTTTTTTGTTAAAAATTCAGTTTGGTTATTTTTTAAAATAAAAACTGAACCGAATAAAAAATGATCAACTCTAATAATAATAACTATTTTTATTATTATATATCATAGTTTGATAAATTTAGAATTAAGAGTTTTTTATATAAATATTTTAAGGATAAAAATAATAATTTTTATCTCTAAAGACATGTTTTCTCTATAACACCTATTTTGAAAATATATAAATTCACTTTAAAATTGTTCCGATAACATATTTATTTTTATATCTATATTTCTATCTCTTCAACCAAATATATCTATGTCTCAATTGTTTCCATCTTTGATAACACGAAACAATAACTAAACATTATATTCATGCTAGATTTTTATTGGATTTTATTTTTTAGAATTAAGTTGATTATAAATCAGTTTTTATATTTTTTTATCACATAATAAAATAAAAAAATAATAATTTAATCTAACAGTATTCATAACTCGGATCGCAAGTTTGATAAGTTGATCATGATTAATTTAGGTTATTTCTTGTATTATTCTTTATTTTTTTATATATATATAACACGACTAAAAGATTGATGTCTTCTCCCAAGTGTAGGAGTGTCGAAGTAATAAATAACTCGGTAAGACCGGGGTCGAAATATAGGGAGATTAATTGTACAAATTATAAACAACAATTGTAAACAACAACAATAGTAACAATAACAATAACAATAATAATAGTAGCAATAATAATACTAATAATACTACACTAGTAGTAGTGGCCAAGCATTTGTTGTACCAAGTGTTATATAACATAAATCAAGATTAGTCATTTAACAAGCAAAGTATTAAAGAGTGAACAAGATAACAAATATAAAACATGTTAGTATCAAACATTAAGGTTCATATTAAGTTTACATTATACTTATTCTTACACCATTAGTGTAACCTTTTCACCTTGACATAATTAACTTAGCTAGACATAATGAAAGAAAGCAAAA